AAATATATTTTTCTTTAACTATATATTTTCTATAAACTGCTTTTAGTAAAATTATATTTCATTTTTACACTACTATATTGAAATTTAGAATAGAATTTAGTATTTTTTTTTTTTGTAACTACTTAATGCAGATGCATTCATATTTATTTACTCAAGCCTAACAAAACTCAGGCATTCTTAAAACCATTTATTTAAAGATTCTTTATTACACATACATAACTTTATTATTAAAAAAAAAAAAAACAATGCACAAACGAAAAATCTAGCTAAATATAAAATAACTGCTATAAGAAACAAATATAATATTATATAGTTCCATCCTCTGCTTTGCTGTAGGCATTCCTATATAACAAATTAAAAGGATTATAACTACCAAGAATTTTGTCAGTACCTTAATCTCAAAAAATCCATCACCAAGCTTTTGAATATTTTCTAATTTATTAAAAAGAATCCACTCAATTACATCTTCATATTCTATAGATTTAAGTTAAAATTCTTTAATACAATCATTGATATCTTTATTTCCACACATCTATCTTTGCGTGAGAAACTACAAAGATTCGATTTCGACATACACAACCCACTGAAAAAATGATGAGCTTACAGAAAAGCCACAATAAACCTTCGAAAAAATCCACGAATATTTGCCAGAAGAAATATGAACTTACCGAAAGTATCTCAAAAAGACTATGAAGAATCTAAGAGCAACGACGAAAGAACACATCGAAGGAAAACAACAAATTAGTAAACTTAAAAAAAAAACCCTCCAGACACCAAAATACAAAAAGAATAAAAAACGACTGAGCTATCTGAATTGCATGACTTCGTGACCTCTAATTCAAGGCTTTAATAACGGCTCCAACGACAGCTCCAAGGCTTCAACGATAGCTCTAATAATGGCTCCAAGATATTAACAATGGCTCCAACGATGACTTCAATGATAGTTCCAGTAACGGCTCTAGTGATGACTCTAGTAATGGCTCTAGCGATGACTCCTCAAGAGAAAAAAAAAAAACTAGTTATTAATAAATCAAAAACAAAAACAAGTGCAAAAAAAACAATAATTATCAAAAGAATAATCATTGTTTATATATGATCAGCAATCTGTAAAATGATTGGCCGATCATATGGGTCGCCATGGCTATTTATAATTTTCTATTTCTTAAACTTCAGACAAATTTGCCTAGAAAATTTAATTATATTTAGTATTTTTTAAATAAAACAATAATTTATTAATAATATAGAGTATACTTTCTTTATTTTATTTTTTTTTTTTTGGTGTTAAGGTGGCCTCTTGGCCGGCTCCTTTTATTCGGTTATAGTTAACTTTTA